ATTTGATACTTCATACTAGTAACTTCCATTCAGGTCTCTGAAAATACCTGATTCTACAGTGTTTCATTATGGCCAAGTAACAAAACAGTATTGTTTCAATACAAATAGATTTGGTAAAGTTTTCTTTCTTGTGAAATATCATTGTAATACATACTCCCTTAAATGTGACTCTGAATTCTTTTTTTTTTTTTTGGGTCCAGTTGTGGAGCCTGAACTCTGGGCCTGGGCACTGTCCCTCAGCTCTTCAGCTCAAGGCTAGCGCTCTACCACTTGAGCCACAGCATCACTTCCGGCTTTTTTTTTCTTATGTGGTGCTGAGGAATCGAACCCAGGGCCTTGAGCATGCAAGGCAAGCGCTTACCACTGAGCCACCTTCCCAGCCCGACTCTGAATTCTTTAAAATATCTTGTATCTCCTCTCAAACTCCAGGGTAAACAGGGAGGCATTATGATCTGAAAAAAATTAGAAAGCTCAGTACAAATTTTTTTAACAGATTCATCACAACTAGTGGTAGAAACAAGACCAATACCCAGGATGAAAAACTACAATGCACTGAAGAAACAAGTTTTACACATACCTTCAGTTTCCAATATCTTTATTTTAAAAATTACCAGCAGGATTTGGGAGAAACTTCAAGAATGATATGCACCATTACTTTCACACACAAACATCATCCTTCCAGAGCCATGTATATTTTCACACAAATTCTGTCAGTTAAATCTCAAACTTAATCCAAGAAAAAGCATTATTTTCCAATTATATAAACTGAAGCAAGAAATGCTCACAAGCTAAGTTTTCTTTGATGTGGCTTTTGTTGTTGTTGGAAGGTCTGTCTTTTTTGCGGTGGTCCTGGGGCTTGAACTCACAGCCTGGGCACTGTCCCTGAGCCTCTCTATGTCAAGGTAAGCACTCTACCATGAACCACTTCCAGCTTTATTATGTGGTGCTGAGGAATCAAACCCAGGGTTTCACGCATGCCAGGCAAGCGCTCTACCACTGAGCCACCTTCCCAGGTCCTCCCTGAGCTTGTGGTGTTCAAAGCCAGAGCGCTACCACTGAAGCCACAGCTCCATGTCCAGCATTTTCTCCGGCTAATTGCAGGTAGGAAATCCCGGGGTCCCCTGCCTGGGCTGGTTGCGGGTCAAGGATGCAGGGGTGCGCCACGTGCACCTGGCCACAAAGCTCGTTTTGACCAGTCTTCAAACGGATGGTAAAGGATTCCAAGCCACAGCTGCTCTGTAAACCCGACTCCGAGTCTTATTTCCATTGTATTCGAATTTAGTTCCATTTATCTCATCCTGCCGCGGTGGAGCTTTTCCACCGTGCGACCCCAGGGCTGCTCCCGGCCAGGGCGGCGCGAGCGGGAACGCAGGCCGGGGCTGCTGCGCGGGGCAGGGCGGCGCGAGCGGGAACGCAGGCCGGGGCTGCTGCGCGGGCCAGGGCGGCGCGAGCGGGAACGCAGGCCGGGGCTGCTGCGCGGGGCAGGGCAGGGCGGCGCGAGCGGGGCAGGGCGGCTGCTGCGCGGGGCAGGGCGGCTGCTGCGCGGGGCAGGGCGGCGCGAGCGGGAACGCAGGCCGGGGCTGCTCGCGGGGGGGGGGGGGGGGGGTGTGCAGGTGAAGGTTCCGAGGCGGGAGGACCCTCACAGAGCTGGGGGTGCGGGGAGGCCGAGGCGGGAGGACCCTCACAGAGCTGGGGGTGCGGGGAGGCCGAGGCGGGAGGACCCTCACAGAGCTGGGGGTGCGGGGAGGCCGAGGCGGGAGGACCCTCACAGAGCTCGCCTGGGTAGTGGACGGTGCGGGTGCGGGTTCCGAGGCGGCGGCTTGCGGAGAGGAGCGGGACTGAGCGAGGCCTCAGCTCAACACCCATAAAACAGAAAGAGATGGGGGGGCTGGAGCGAGTCTCGGTTCCCACCGAGCAGCGCCGACAGACGCGGGGTTCGGACCCCGGAACGCCAGCACACGCACACTCACCGCACACACTCACATCACTCTCACATCACTCACGCACACCACTCTCACCCACTCGCACACAACTCACACTCACGCACGCACGCACGCACACACTCGCACTCTCGCATCACACACACTCGCTTGCGCACTCACGCACACACTCGCACACGCACGCACGCACGCACACACTCGCACTCTCACTCGCATCACGCACACTCGCTTGCGCACTCACGCACACACTCGCACACGCACGCACGCACGCACACACTCGCACTCTCACTCGCATCACGCACACTCGCTTGCGCACTCACGCACACACTCGCACACGCACGCACGCACGCACACACTCGCACTCTCTCACTCGCATCACACACACTCGCTTGCGCACTCACGCACACACTCGCACACGCACGCACGCACGCACGCACACACTCGCACTCTCACTCGCATCACACACACTCGCTTGCGCACTCACGCACACACTCGCACACGCACGCACGCACTCTCACTTTCGCACTCACACTCGCTTGCGCACTCACGCACACACACTCGCATCACACTCGCGCACAGCGCCCTCCGCGAGTGTCACGCAAGCTCTTTCCGGTGACCTCGCGGTGGGACTCTGGGAACCGAAGGGTCAGAGGTCACGGAGCGCCGCGGGCGGAGCGGTGGCGTCTCGTGTTCACACAGGTCAGGGGTCACCCGAGTCCAACCTCTAGGAAACCAGCTCCGCACGCCCGTCCCGCTCCCCGCTCCCCGCTCCCCGCTCCCCGCTCCCCGCGGCGGCGCCCGTCCCGCACCCCGCTCCCCGCTCCCCGCGGCGGCGCCCGTCCCGCACCCCGCTCCCCGCTCCCCGCGGCGGCGCCCGTCTCCGAGACGATTCCCACACCACCCCGCCCCCGCCCGGAGGGCGGGGGAGCACCGCGGGGGGCGGGGGAGCACCGCGGGGGGCGGGGGAGCACCGCGGGGGGCGGAGGGCGGGGGAGCACCGCGGAGGGCGGGGGAGCACCGCGGGGGGCGGGGGAGCACCGCGGGGGGCGGAGGGCGGGGGAGCACCGCGGGGGGCGGGGGAGCACCGCGGAGGGCGGAGGGCGGGGGAGCACCGCGGAGGGCGGGGGAGCACCGCGGAGGGCGGGGGAGCACCGCGGAGGGCGGGGGAGCACCGCGGGGGGCGGGGGAGCACCGCGGAGGGCGGAGGGCGGGGGAGCACCGCGGGGGGCGGGGGAGCACCGCGGGGGGCGGGGGAGCACCGCGGAGGGCGGGGGAGCACCGCGGGGGGCGGAGGGCGGGGGAGCACCGCGGGGGGCGGGGGAGCACCGCGGAGGGCGGAGGGCGGGGGAGCACCGCGGGGGGTGGGGGAGCACCGCGGGGGGCGGGGGAGCACCGCGGAGGGCGGAGGGCGGGGGAGCACCGCGGGGGGCGGGGGAGCACCGCGGAGGGCGGAGGGCGGGGGAGCACCGCGGAGGGCGGGGGAGCACCGCGGAGGGCGGGGGAGCACCGCGGAGGGCGGGGGAGCACCGCGGGGGGCGGGGGAGCACCGCGGAGGGCGGAGGGCGGGGGAGCACCGCGGGGGGCGGGGGAGCACCGCGGGGGGCGGGGGAGCACCGCGGAGGGCGGGGGAGCACCGCGGGGGGCGGAGGGCGGGGGAGCACCGCGGGGGGCGGGGGAGCACCGCGGAGGGCGGAGGGCGGGGGAGCACCGCGGGGGGTGGGGGAGCACCGCGGGGGGCGGGGGAGCACCGCGGAGGGCGGAGGGCGGGGGAGCACCGCGGGGGGCGGGGGAGCACCGCGGAGGGCGGAGGGCGGGGGAGCACCGCGGAGGGCGGGGGAGCACCGCGGAGGGCGGGGGAGCACCGCGGAGGGCGGGGGAGCACCGCGGGGGGCGGGGGAGCACCGCGGAGGGCGGAGGGCGGGGGAGCACCGCGGAGGGCGGGGGAGCACCGCGGGGGGCGGGGGAGCACCGCGGGGGGCGGGGGAGCACCGCGGAGGGCGGGGGGAGCACCGCGGGGGGCGGAGGGCGGGGGAGCACCGCGGGGGGCGGGGGAGCACCGCGGAGGGCGGAGGGCGGGGGGAGCACCGCGGGGGGTGGGGGAGCACCGCGGGGGGCGGGGGAGCACCGCGGAGGGCGGAGGGCGGGGGAGCACCGCGGGGGGCGGGGGAGCACCGCGGAGGGCGGAGGGCGGGGGAGCACCGCGGAGGGCGGGGGAGCACCGCGGGGGGCGGGGGAGCACCGCGGGGGGCGGAGGGCGGGGGAGCACCGCGGAGGGCGGGGGGAGCACCGCGGAGGGCGGGGGAGCACCGCGGGGGGCGGGGGAGCACCGCGGGGGGCGGAGGGCGGGGGAGCACCGCGGGGGGCGGGGGAGCACCGCGGGGGGCGGGGGAGCACCGCGGAGGGCGCGGGGGAGCACCGCGGAGGGCGGGGGAGCACCGCGGGGGGCGGGGGGAGCACCGCGGGGGGCGGAGGGCGGGGGAGCACCGCGGAGGGCGGGGGAGCACCGCGGGGGGCGGGGGAGCACCGCGGGGGGCGGGGGAGCACCGCGGAGGGCGGAGGGCGGGGGAGCACCGCGGAGGGCGGGGGAGCACCGCGGGGGGCGGGGGGAGGAGGGCGGGGGAGCACCGCGGAGGGCGGGGGGAGGAGGGCGGGGGAGCACCGCGGAGGGCGGGGGGAGGAGGGCGGGGGAGCACCGCGGGGGGCGGGGGGCGGAGGGCGGGGGGAGCACCGCGGAGGGCGCGGGGCGCAATGGCTCCGCTTCTCGCGACTCCTCGGCGATGACGCAGGCACGTGACCCCTGCGCCTCGGCGGCGAGCGCGGGAGCCAATCGCGGGCGGCGAGGGGACCCGGCAGCGCGCGCGCCGGCCACGCCGCGGTCCCGCGGCGGCTGCGGACCGGCTTCCGGGTGGGGCGGGGCCGGGGCTCCGGCGTCGGTGGCGCGCGCGGGCCGCCGAGTGCGCGCCCAGCGCCGTCCGTGCCCCTCCCCGACGCCGCCCGCGTCTCCGGGCCGCGGTCCTGACGGCCTCCCCCGGCCTCCCCGGCCCGGCCGTCGCCCTGGTCCCCGGGTGCGCCCGCCCCGCCCGCCGAGAGCCGATCGCCCGCGCCTGGGCGCCCGGAGGCGGCGTCCGGAGTTCCTGCCCAGGACGGGTGCGTTCAAAGGACGGGCGGGGGGCGGGGGGGGGGAACGAAGGGAGGGGGGACGGAGGGAGGGGGGACGGAGGGAGGGGGGGACGGAGGGAGCAGGGGACGGAGGGAGGGAGGGACGGAGGGAGCAGGGGACGGAGGGAGGGAGGGGGACGGAAGGAGGGGGGGGACGGAGGGAGCGGGGGACGGAAGGAGGGGGGGGACGGAGGGAGCGGGGAACGCAGGGAGGGGGGACGGAGGGAGGGGGGACGGAGGGAGGAGCGGGGGGGGGGACGGAGGGAGCGGGGGACGGAGGGAGGAGGGGGGGGGACGGAGGGAGCGGGGGACGGAGGGAGGAGCGGGGGGGGGGGACGGAGGGAGCGGGGGACGGAGGGAGGAGGGGGGGGGACGGAGGGAGCGGGGGACGGAGGGAGGAGCGGGGGGGGGGGGAACGGAGGGAGCGGGGGACGGAGGGAGGGAGCGGGGACGGAGGGAGGGGGGGACGGAGGGAGCGGGGGGGGGGACGGAGGGAGGGGGGGGGGCCGTACTGTTAGAGTTAGCATAGCATAGATGTGTGTAACTGTGATAGTTACTGAGTAATACATACGTCCCCACAGAACAGCCACCGTGTAGTCAGTAGAACCCTGTGATAGTGACTGTGTAACACGTGTAACTACATGACAGCTACTATATAATGTATATAACTACACAGCCACCGTGTAGTCTATAGAACCCTGTGATAGTGACTGTGTACAGGTGTAACTGTGACAGTTACTATATAACTATGTAACAGTATCTCATGTATATAACCACAGTACAGTTACTATATAATATATAACTATGTAGTTACTGCATAATATATATCACCACATAACAGTTACTATATAATATATAACCGTATAATAGTTACTATGCAATATATATATAAGTTACTATATAATATATGTATCTATACAACTACTTTATAATATATATAACCATATAATAGTTACTATGTAACATGTGTAACTATATGATAGTTATTATATAATATATAACTATAACAATTACTATATAATGTATATAGCTATACAGCTACCGTATAATATATATAACCATGTAATAGTTACTATATAACATATGTAACTAGATGATAGTTACTATATAACAGTTACTATCTAATTGTGCGTGAACTTCATTTAATAACATCCATGAAGTGCTTATTGAACTAATGTATGATCACCTCAGGAAACAGTTGGAGAATAAAAGCAAAAGTGAAAATCCAGTTGACCTGACAGAGCAGGAAGCAGTTACAGTGGGGTCTCTGAGTAGACTGAGGAGGTGGGCAGGGCATTGAAACCCTTTGTGCAGCCCTTTACAGCTGCTGTACCCAGAGAGGTTAGAGGCCTCCAGCAAAAGTGGTAAGGCTTTAACCAAGTCGAATACTGCCACTCACCCTCACCCATTCTTGAGGATTGAATCCGAGGCCTCCCACTGGCTAGGCAAACACAATACTTGAACCGTGGTGCAAACCTTTTGTTTTTGAGAGAAGGTCTGGTTCACTTTGCCTGAGCTGACATTGAATTCCGGATCCTCCTGACTCCACATCCCTAATGACAGATTACAGACATGCACCACCACCCCTGGCATAATACTACAGATATTTCTTCATACCTGTTGTGCACAGGTGACACATAAACGTAATGGTGCCTGTCATTAAGTATGTAATCTTTTAAACACAAACTTAATGGGTAAAAAGGACAAATGATTGCGCCATTTAAAAGACAAAACAGGGCTGGGAAGGTGGCTCAGTGGTAGAGCGCTTGCCTTGCATGCATGAGGCCCTGAGTTTGATTCCGCAGCACCACATAAGCAGAAAAAAGCCAGAAGTGGTGCTGCCAGGGCCTCATGCATGCTAAGCAAGCACTCTACCATTAAGTCACCTTCCCAGCCCTCAAACATCACTCTCAACGTAAAACCATCGTATCCAAACCATTAACAGTGTAAAAAATAAACATAAAAAGAGCTGGATCACAAGGATCGTACATACTTACCTCTATCAGTTCCAGTATTTAATATTTAACAATTATCATGACAAAGCCACCAGAATTTAGATACTTTGTGTGTGCAAGATTGTTACATACTCTGAAGATTAAACCTCTATTATCATTTTGCTAAAAAAGAAATTTGTGTTTTCAGATCTTGATGAACAAAACAAAGCAGACGTAATTCATCTCTAGAAGTCTACCTTAGCATAGAAAAAAAATTTAGTTAGAATAGTAAAAATGGAAAAAGAGAAAATAAATCATGATGAAAAAACAGATGCAGAAAATTCACTGGACTTTTCTGACCACTTTAACCAACTTGAACTGTTGAAAACACATGGACACCTCATTCCCACTGGTACTCAAAGTCTCTGGCTAGGCAATTCTGATGAAGATGAGGAACAAGATGAAAAAAGCGAAGAGTGGTATCAATTGCAAGAAAAAAAAATGGAGAAGGATCCAAGCAAATTGCTTCTTTGGGCTGCCGAAAATAATCGGGTAACTTTTTTTTTTAAGAAGGCAAGGACCTTTACATAGTAGGAGAGCCATTGGTTTTATAGCTAGATCTTTTTCCCAACCCATTTGAATCATATCTTCAGGTTACCCAATTTTTGAACCTCTAGTTTCTTGTATTTGAAGTTGCCATCACAATATTTGCCTGTTTATTAAGGTTAATGAGAATCGAACGAAGCGAAGTACAAAAAAGCACACATTAAGGTACCTTATTATTTAAGGTTAATTATGAAGCTCATAAGCAGTGTCATATGTATTTTTAAATCCTTTATATTTCAAATCAGTTGTAACTAATCATTATTTTCTAGTTAAGTGTTATTTAAGATACAGAGAATGTTAACACTAAATACCAGTCCTCACATATCCCTACAAGGAAAATAAAAGCATTTTACATTTTGTAGACCTTTTTAATGTGCACTGCAATGTACTAGAGGTTCGTAGATCAAACTGAAAACCACTTCCTAAAATCATGTTTATACAGTTGTGTTTCAAAGGAATTGAGCCCTTTAATCCCTGAATTTTCTTGTTCTTATCTTATTCTTCTGTTAAGAATAGTTTCAGCTGGGCACTGGTGGCTCACACCTGTAATCCTAGCTACTCAGGAGACTGAGATCTGAGGATTACGGTTCAAAGCCAACTTGGGCAGGAAAGTCCGTGAAACTCTTCAATAAACCACCAGAAAACCGGAAGTGGCATTGTAGCTCAGGTGGTAGAGGGCTAGCCTTGAGCTGAAGAGCTGAGGGACAGCGCCCAGGCCCAGAGTTCAAGCCCCATAACTGACAAAAAAAAAAAAGTTTCATTTTTTTTTTAACTTTTATTTGCCATGTATATTGGTATAGTAATCTAGTCCTTTCATAAAACATGAATCACTTTTTTTGCAAAGGAAGTTTGAAAATTATTAAATATAGTTATAATCTGTATTGGTTCTCTCTGGCCAAAACTTTGGGAAATAGGCCCTAAAAATTGAACCTTACATAAATATAGGGTTTGATATTAGATAATCACACTCAAAAATGACTGACACATGTTCATTATGAAGTTACTTGTCCTCCCAATACAAAAACCATAAATTGTTTTTATTTTAAAGTCATCTGATAACAAATTTGGGGGGTTTGGTTTGTTTGTTTTTACTTAAGTCTAAAGCCACAAGACAGTTTAATTTTATTTGCTTTGAGTTGAAATGTGTGTGTTTGTATATATATATATATATATATATATATATATATATATACATACATACATATGTATTTGTGTATCTTTCTTTCTCAGCTTACTACAGTACAGAGACTACTTTCTGAAAAGGCCGCTCATGTGAATACTAGGGATGACGATGAGTATACCCCTCTTCATCGGGCAGCCTACAGTGGACACTTAGACATTGTCCGTGAGTTGGTGGCCCAAGGGGCAGATATTCATGCAATAACTGTGGATGGCTGGACAGCCCTGCACAGTGCTTGTAAGTGGAATAACACCAGAGTGGCTTCCTTCTTACTTCAGCATGATGCAGATATCAATGCCCAAACTAAAGGCCTCTTGACCCCCTTGCATCTTGCCGCTGGGAATAGAGATAGCAAAGATACTCTGGAACTCCTTCTGATGAACCGCTATATCAAACCAGGTCTGAGGAACAACTTGGAAGAAACTGCATTTGATATTGCCAGAAGGACAAGCATTTATCACTACCTCTTTGAAGTTGTGGAAAGCTGTACAAATTCTTCTCCCAAGTCTTAATGGTTCGGTTAATTTTCTTAAGTTTCCAAAATGCCAGTCCATCATTTTTGTAAGATACAAAATATTTTCACAATACAAAGTAGACATCAATGTCTTACTGTAAAAATATGGGTTCTTATGGTATTCTTCCAAGTGAATTGCCTGACTTTGATGTCCAAATATATTCAAGAGTTGTTTGGGAGCCGGGCGCCCGTGGCTCACGCCTGTAATCCTAGCTACTCAGGAGGCTGAGATCTGAGGATCGCGGTTCAAAGCCAGCCTGGGCAGGAAAGACCGTGAAACTCTTATCTCCAATAAACAACTAGAAAACCGGAAGTGGCGCTGTAGCTCAAGTGGTAGAGCGCTCGCCTTGAGCTAAAGAGCTGAGGGACAGCGCTCAGGCCCAGAGTTCAAGCCCCACAACCAAAAAAAAAAAAAAAAAAGAGTTGTTTGGGTACTTTTTTTTTTTTTGATCTGGTCGTAGGGCCTGAACCCTGGGCCTGGGCGCTGTCCCACAGCTCTTCAGCTCAAGGCTAGCGCTCTACCACTTGATGGGTACATCTTTAATGATTTCTGCAGTCTGATTTTTTTTTTTAATTAAGAATAATTTTATCTGTTAAAATGAGTACTACAGAAACTAAAAATATTTCTGGTGCTGATCTGAAAAAAGGAATATTTTAAAATAATATTCTGTATCTTGGGTCTTTATTGAATATTTAGTGTATTGGCATATATGTTTATCAGACAAGATAATTCAGAATTTAAAACTCTTTTTAAATGTAGTGATGCAGTTATCGATCTTCATTTTATACCAGAAAACTAAATATTATTAGTGACTGTGATACAGTGTTTTCCCTACTACAATCGTGAACAGTCTGGTCAACCTACATGGTCCTTCCTTATTCTTACAGTAAGTTAATATGACCTTTTAGACATGTAAACAATTATGCCTTGTCTAGGAGGTATAGCTCTCCAGCTGGTTTTAACTACCAGTTCATGCTAGGTTGAACACTGCTCGTAGGCTTGAGTTTCAAGAAAGGTTGGTTTTCTAAAGTTCTCATTTTCTACAACCCTTGGAAAGGCAAAATGACAAGGCATAAGAAATTCTAAGTGAGAAAATGGTTGTTATATGGGGACGAAACCAAGTAACTTAAGCTTTCTTGGATAGTAACCAAAAGCATGTGTGTGTGTGTGTGTGTGTGTGTTTTTCAAGAAAAATAAAGGTTTTTATACACACACAGAAGACATAAATTCTTTTCTGTAACTGTATAACTTTGTTGAGTCCATACCATATTTACTCAACCCTTATGTATTTATTCAGTATCTACTCTTTCTGGCTTGTAAATGCAGTTTCCCATTGTTTATGTGGCCACTCACTCTGTAACTATTCCCAAAAGGTCTCTGCTTAACCTCTCAACACTAGAACTAACACCACAAGGAAAGGTAAACTAACCTTTCTTCAATATACATTTTAAACGTCTAATTCAGTTTGTCTATTGAGTCAACCATCATAGACTAAATCATAGTGATATTTAACCAATATTTGAGGTGGTTTCTTTTTGTTAAAACAAGCTGTTATTTCAAAACCAAAAGCTAAATGGCAATGAAAGAACTGAATCATTGGGACAAACAATCTCAAGAAGTTATGAGAACTTCATTTATTTTGTGATCTGCTGTTAGGACATTCCTCAGTTTCATAGAATCAATATCTCATACAAAGATTTTGTCAGAATAGGAAAGATTGCTTTCTGTTTAACTTGACACAAAGAAGAGATACTAAATGACAGAGACAGCTGGCAAACAAGTGAGGGTAGAATAGGCCCCATCTATCCAATGACATTGCTGAACAAGGTTGCCTTATGGACTGCATCCATGGTTTTGAGCAAACTTTGCATTTAACTTTAGATCCAAAGGAGCCTCCTTATGTCTGATTGACAGGTGAGTCCTCTTGTTTTTTAAGCCTTAGCCCTCAAAAATGCTGAAGAACAAAATTCATATATGAAAAATTCCTTCTCCTGGAGGGGAGAATTTGTATTGTTTGCTCTCTTTATGCTTTCTTTAGTATTTACTAGATTAGTCTATCCACAGAAGACATTCACTAATGCTGCTTTTGTCTATATCATTCAGACCATTTTCACCTTTTTTTTTTAATGTGTGCCAGTACAGAGCTTAAACTCAAGGCCTCAAGCTCTTGCTTACCTTTTTCACTCAAAGCTGATGCTGTACTTGAGCCATACCTCTGTTGTCTGTTTTCATAGGAAATTTTTAGTAATGGAAAAAATGAGAACATTTTAGTGCTATCAATAAAAGAAAATTAGGAGCCAGGTGTCAGTGGCTCAAGCCTGTAATCCTAGCTACTCAGGAGACTGAGATCTGAGGTCGCAGTTCAAAGGCAGCCCAGGCAGGAAAGTCCAGGAGACTTCTTATTTCCATAAACCACCAGAGAACCAGAAGTGATGCTGTGGCTCAAGCATTAGAGCACTCACCTTGAGCTGAAGAGTGCAGGGACAGCGACCGGGCCCAGAATTGAAGCCCCATGACCACCAAAAAAAAAAAAGAGGAGCACATCTCAGGTTTTTCCCAAACAGAATTTAATAACACATGAAGAATATGTAAAGTGATGGCAAAGACCAATTCTGGGAAAAAGATAATGGCTCTACAGTTGGAATCATAAATACCTGAATAAGAATCATATGACTAATTTAGGGGGTTGAAGTCTAGGAATTGCTGTTTGAAGCCAGCTCAGATAAATCCCAAAGGTTCTTATTTCCAGATGCCCCCAAGTCCCCACTCCCTCAAAGAAGAAGAAAAAAGATCATTTGGGGTGTGTACCAGCAAAAAAAACTAGTATTCAAATTTACTTTGATTTGCTGTTGCAGTGTGTGTGTATGCACTAGTCCTGGAGCTTGAACTCAGGGCCTAGGCACTGTCCCTGAGCTTCTTTGTTCAAGGCTAGTGCTGTACCACTTGAGCTTCAGCTCCACTTTCTGCTTTTTGATGGTTGATTAGAGTCTCTTGGACTCCTGCCTGGGCTGGCGTGAAACCAACAATAATCCTCAGATCTCAGCCTCCTGGGTAGCTAGGATTACAGGTGAAAGCCACCAGTGTCCAGTTGCATTTTAAAAAATTTTAAGTTTAAAAGTATGTAATCAGGGGCTGGGAAGGTGGCTCAGTGGTAGAGCACTTGCCTTGCATGCCTGAGGCCCTGGGTTCGATTCCTCAGCACCACATAAGCAAAAAGATAAAAGCCAGAAGTGGCGCTGTGGCTCAAGTGGTAGCGCGCTAGCCTTGAGCTAAAGAGCTGAGGGGCAGCGCCCAGGCCCACAGTTCAGGCCCCACAACCGGACCCAAAAAATAAATAAATAAATAAAAGTATGTAATCATTGCCAGAAGAATCAAAAGCAAGAGAAGGTATTAGGATCCTTCCATCATTCCTTTGATTTTATTTTATACCCTTGGGTAGTAGGCACGTTGGAGTCCATCCACATCAAATGTCAAATGGTGACATTTGACGCCAAGTAATTTAATGGGGGTTGGAGGAAGCAGCATTCCTGGAACCTCACTCACTAGATGCCAGTGGCACCTCTCAGTCTCTCCCAGTTGTGACAATCAAGCACTTGTGCAGATATTGGTAACTGGCTTTTGCTGTACAGGATCAAAAGTCTGTAAGGCAACAGACTATAATTTCATAATTTTTAACTAGTATGCAAGTTTTAATAAAGCCATGGTTTTCTTAGACCTTTAAATTTTGGGCCTTTAAATTTTTTCTGCTGGGTGCTGGTGGCTCATGCCTGTCCTTCTAGCTACTCAGGAGTCTGAAATCTGAGGATCGGAGTTCAAACCCAGCCTGGGCAGTAATCTCCAATTAACCCCCAGAAAACTGGAAGTGGCACTGTGGCTCAAGTGGTAGAGCGTTTGCCTTGAGCACAAAGAGGCTCAGGGACAGTGCCCAGGCCCAGAGTTCAAGACCCACAACTGACCAAAAAAAAAAGCATTCTACTTTAGACTTTTAATATTACTTTAATATTAAAGACATTCAAAAAGTTGTGCTTAAACATACAATTAGAAAAAGAGAGGTCTCCAGTAGTTAAGATGTTGTTTGGAAGAAAAAACCCACTACCCAGGGCCTCTAGGAAATTTTTCCTTACGTCATGAATGAGTATTTCAGAGAATTCTCGTTTCTATCAGTCAGTGGAGAGAACAGCCATCCTGACTTTTTCAATACTTGCATCCTTACAAATGTCAGGTTTTACCTCACTGCTGAGTGAAATTGCAATGCAGCTGAAGGGGAGGTAAGCCAGCCACCAGCAACAGAACCCAGTAGCCGTGGGGCCTGAACTCGGGGCCTGGGCGCCACGCGCCGCTTCCGGCTTTCGGGTGGTCGGTCGGGGATGAGAGCCCGGACTTCCCGCCGGTTTGAACCGCGTCCTCGGGGCGCAGCCTCGGAGGAGCTGGGATGGCAGGCAGGACGCCCGCCCCACCTCGCCGCTCCTGCCGTCTGCTCCTCAGTCTTCGAAGACTGCCCACGCCTGCCATCCCAGCTCCTCCGGAGGCTGCGCTCCGAGGACGCGGTTCAAAGCCCCGGCGGGAAGTCCGTGAGACTCATCGCCAATGAACCTCCAGGAAACGCAGAGCGCTGAGTTCAAGACCCACAAAACAACCGACTGCCGCAGGTCCACATCTGAAAGCACGTCTCAGCTCCTCCCCTCGTTCTCCGTTCCGGACGGACTTCCACGCCGCTCCGCACACGAGGTGCCCGTCGTGGAAACCGGTAGGAAAGCAACTGACCGGAGGCCGGAAGGACGTCCCACCTGGCAGGGAGGGGCGGGGAAGGAAGGCTCGAGGGGCGGGGCTCCCGAGGGGCGGGGCTCCCGAGGGGCGGGGCTCCCGAGGGGCGGGACTCCTGGAGGTGGGGGAGGCTCGGGGGCGGGGCTCCCGAGGGGCAAGACTTCCGGAGAGGCGCTTGAGGCCGGGCTCCTGGGGGCGGGGCTTCCTAGGGGCGGGGCTCCCGGAGCCGCCGCTGGGCTCAAGCGTTCTGGTCACTATGACAACCAGAGGCGTCGCGTTCCGGCAGCCTGCGGAGCCCAGGCCGGGACCCCGCGGCCCCCAGGCACCGAGTGGCATGAGGCTCCAGGAGGCCTCCGCGGCGGCGGCCGAGGCCGCGGCAGGGCCCGAGGCGGGCAGCGACGGGGAGCAGCGCGGGCCGCGGGC